GCCCCAAATAGGGCACAAATCCCCTTCATCGATGCCACGCTGGCAGGATTAGTGCAATTTCAAGACGGTGAATTGATTATAGGATCGGATCTGAATTATATTATGGACCCAACTCTGGACAGAACCTGGAAACCCAACTCAGCTAGGGCAAGTAGGTCATCCCCCCCAAAAAATAATCGAAAACCACTTTTAGAAAAATATCACCTGATTGATGCCTGGAGATCCCTTCACCCAAGCCAAAAAGACTATACTTATTTCTCACCCAGGCACAACATTTTCACCAGAATAGACTATATACTCATCTCAGACACTCTGGCCCCACACCTGGCCTCCCTAGATATTGGAACTAAACATCTTACAGACCATGCATGGGTGGACGGCGTTGTTGAACTCACAGACAAGAAGCCCGCCATTCCTAATAGTGTTCCTGTCAACGCATCTATAGCTTCAATAAAAGTAAAACCTTTCCATAAGTGTGTACTTCGTTGTTGCTGGGGGTCCTGACATGGCATCTGACCTGTTTTGTTTAAACTCAGGTAACACAGGATCTTGACTGAGGAGAAAAAGTACCTGGGGAGACATATTGTACAGAGGTACGCCATGGGTCCATGGTAGAACTGGGCATGTTAGACCAGAACAAGTTCAAGTATATCCATTTGCAGTATGGAAATCTTCATTTAGATATTTTAAATATAATTTTATAGGTTCCCAATGCATCCCAGTGCATTTTAAAGGAGATTTGGAAGTTTATTTGGAGATAAATGTGGTCATGGTGGGAAGGAAAATGTAGTCATTAAATCCTTTGGAAGAACTCCCAATAGATCATTCAGGTGTTTCCCAAAGACCATTGTGCAGGATACTGCTGTTTCCCAGTGTGAGGGGCAAACTATGGCTGATGCCCTTGAAAGCCCTCTACTGGGGCTTAGTAAAAGAAGGCAAGGAGTGGCTTACATCTTGGATCCTCTGTTGTACTTTGGTCAGCTCTGCTGAGTAAACGGCAGCATTATAGAATCATTTAGAATACTAAAGATGGCAAGTTCAGCCACACAGACACCAAGTTATTTTTACAAATCAAGCTGATTTGTTAAGTACAATAGCACTAGCAAAGAAGGTGAAGCTGGAGAAAGGGGGCAAAAAGGCCCCCACTGCCCTTTCTGCTGGCAAAAGCAGGGTGGGAGGGAAGCCAGAAGCTCCTCCTTCCCCCTCACAGTGCTCCCTTGCAGTTCTGAATGAACAAGCTCTTTTTAAAGTGAGTTCCCACAAATGTATATCTAACTATGAGTCCAATTGCACACCTGTGGCACAGTATGCATTGGGCGTACCATGTAGTTACAGCCTCAGACATGTTGGAGTTCCCATCTAGATGCTGTCAAATTGGTTTTGTTGCAATTGCCACAACTAGTTGATGCATTCGAGCTTTCTCGTGATATTTAACTTAATCATGATGGGTACTCACAGATTAAATATATATACTCAGGACTCTCAAGGCAGAGAGCAGTTTAAAAAAATACAGATCAATTTTATACATTCATATATAAATAAAACCAATAGTTCAAAATTTGAATTGATATTTGTTGGAGGATTACATTTGTTGCATCAATGATGTAACTCTTGGCTTTAAAAACTGAGCGATAAATGTCTAAATATTAAAAATATTTTTTCCTTTGTACTTGCTAAGTTATTACTTGTTTGATCCAGTGCTAAGTGATAAAATTAACTTCCTTTCTTTCTACCAGATGATTCCAAAAGAAAATCTTCAGTAAGTTGAGATCATTCAGTTGCTTAAGCGTTTTGGATGGATATGGAGTGCTGTCCTCACTTCTGATGATGAGAGTGGAAAATTTTCTTTGCAGACCATTAGAGGGAGGCTCCGCTAGAACAATATCCATATAGCTTTTATACAAATGATGCCAGTTTTACTGCATAGCACTTCCCCCACCCACCCCCAAAAAGGAAGGCATATTTTCTTTTGTCTTTTATGGTAATGGAAAGTACCATCAAGTCGCAGTCAGCTTAAGGATACCCTGCAGGGCTTTCAAGGTAAGAAGAGTTCAGGGGTGGTTTGCAATTGCCTGTCTCTGCATAGCAACCCTGAACTTCCTTGGTGGTCTCACATCTCAGTATTAACTAGGGCTGGTCTTGCTTAGCTTCCAAGATATGACAAGATCAAGTTAGCCTGGGCCATCTAGTTCAGGGCCTCTTTTATACAAAGTAATAAAAGGTAACCAAGAAAGCAAAATTTTGTATGATTTCTCCTTACCCAAGTAAGCAAATTGAAATGGAAGAGGAAGTGGTTAAAGGGGAAAAAAGGTTGAACCAAAAGGGAGGGTCAAGAAGCAACAGTTAGAACCGGATATGGAACGACTGATTGGTTTAGCATAGTAAAAGGAGTACGACAAGGATGTATATTGTCACCTTGCTTATTTAATATATATGCAGAGTACATCATGCAAAATGCTGGCCTGGATGAATCACAGGTGGGAATTAAGATTGCTGGGGAAAAGATCAGCAACCTCAGATATGCAGACGATATGACTCTATTGGCAGAAAGTGAAGAGGACCTAAAGAGCCTCCTGCTTAGAGTGAAAGAGCAGAGCACAAAAGTGGGCTTTTGAAGCTCAACATCAAAAAAACTAAGATCATGGCATGATGGGCTCTGTGTCATTATACCCTGCTGAGGTGGCCTCCCAAGACAGCCAGTGTGACATAGGAGTTAGCACTTCAGAGCAGGGTCTTCCAGACTCAGGTTCTTCCTGTGGAAGCTGATTCGGTGATTTCAGACCACTCACAGACTTTCAGCATAACCTACCTCATAGGGTTGTTGTGAAAATCAAAAGGGGGGAGAGGAGAATGATGTGAGCTGCTTTGGTCCCTACTGTGGAGAAATACTATTTTTCCTAGGTAGAGGCTCCAGGGAGGGGGGAAGAGATGGAAACCTGACGTCAGGGGGCAGATAACAGTACATTGATGGTTGCCTGGGAAGGAACTAGGGTTGCCACCTCCAGGTTGAGAAATTTCTGGAGATTTGAGGGGTGGAGCCTGGAGATAATGGGGTTTGAGGAGTGGGACTTCAGACAGGTACAGTGCCATAGACTCCACCCTCCAAACCAGCCATTTCCTCCTGGGGAACCATGACTTTCATTCTCCAGGTGAGGGCTGGAGATCACTCAGAATTAAAACTGCTCTCCAGATGGTAGCGATCTGTTCCCCTGGAGAAAATGGCTGCTTTGCAGGGTGGACTCTGAGTCATTATACCCTGCTGAGGTCACTTCCCCTCCTGCTTGGGTAGATAACGGTATGTTGATAGTTGGCTGGGAAGGAGATAGGGCTGCTGCCTCCAAGTCAGGTACAATGCCATAGACTCTACTCTCCAAACCAGCCATTTCCTCCTGGGGAACCATTGTTGCCAATCTCCAGGGGAGGGCTAGAGATCACTCAGAATTACAACTCCTCTTCAGATGGCAGAGATCAGTTCCCCTGGATCAAACGGTAAGCTCTGTGTCATACCCTGCTGAAGTCATCACAGTAAATTGATGCTGAGTGCCCAAGGACAGGGCACCTGCCCAGAGCCTCTTTCTAGAGCTCATTGTATTTATTTCCACAACGGGCCTTATTCTTAGTATTAAATAATCTGGAAAATAGTATTAATGGACAAAATGAGCAGAACCCTTATGAAATTTCTGTACACATCCATAGCAGTAATGCCAGAGCTCTCATTAAGTTGTACCTTACAAATCTTGTTACTGCATGAATGGTCTGCACAGTTTTCAGAAAGAACAACCTGGAAGCAAGACACCATTTCTGAACATAAAGTGCACATATTGATTATTTATTTAAAAGTGTGTAAGAGGAGAAAATATGCATATATGATCAAGTATTTGCAGGATTGGAGCCAGTGCTGTTCCCAGGGAGGGGGCAGAGAATTCTCCAGAAACAGCAGGGGGGGGGGAATCAAATGTCTGCCACAGGAGGGAGGAAATCAAAAATCAGACACCCCTTCTGCCAGTGGAAATGTTCCACTGGATCCAACACAATCTGCCTACGTCTGTTTTACTATTTAGATGATACAGGGAAAAATAGGATTAATGTATAGGTACTAAAACAACAGAGTCTAAATCCTTCTGCATCTTTAGTTAGAAATTCACTATATAATTTAGTGAGCAGTATCCGACAACTCTGTGGGCAGAAGGCGTAGTTTTACATCCCTGTCTGCTGCTACAGTTCTTTCTAAACCCCACAGCAATTAGTCACAGGACTCATATGTCCGAACAGCTGTGTGGCTTGGCAAGGGTGGAGTCAGTGATTCAAGAGTTGAAATTGTTTCTCCTTCCTCTTCAACATGCACTGCTCTACAAAGGGGAGGAGGCAGATTCATCCCTTTGTTCCTCCTCACTCTAGCCTGCCGACTGTCAGAGATGTCTCTCTTTGTGGATCCTGCAACCCTGGGAGTGAACCCCAGGAGTGATCATTCCAGGGATCTAAGGGAGTTGTTGCAGTGGAGGGGATCATGAGAAAATACTACATGTACATGGATGATAGGATCCTGCACAGAATTTCTAAATCTTAAAAGTCAAGTTATTACATTGCTGATGCAGGATTTCTGGGTTTTCTTTTTAAAACACATATTGTTATACTTATAATAGCACAAATAACAACTACAGATGCACATACTATGATCACTATAATGGTCGTTGTATTTATAATGCTGTTATTGTTTTCTTTATTAGAATTAAGAGAGGTAGTTTCCATATTAGAGCCTGTGGTGTAATTGCTGGACATTCCAGAGGCCGTAGTGTAATTAGGGGCTGTTCCAGAGGCTGTAGTGTAATTACTGGCTGTTCCAGAGGTCGTAGTGTAATTACTGACTGTACCAGAGGCTGTAGTATAATTACTGGCTGTTCCAGAGGTCGTAGTGTAATTACTGGCTGTACCAGAGGCTGTAGTATAACTGCCGGCTGTACTAGGGAGGGTAGTAGGAAATGTGGAAACAAGGACAACTGTTCTTGCTATATTGGATGCTTCTCCAACATTGTTGCTGTCATCAATGCCACGAATTGCAAAGTAGATGGTGGTGCCATTTTCTTTTGTGAAGTTTTCAGGCTTAAATTGAAAGGATTGTTTGATCCCTGCAAACTCAGTTGTCAGACCAGATGTGTTCACAGAAATGGCTGTATGAAAGGTAGCATCTCTTAATTCCAAGGGATTTTTACTCATTTTTATTTCATATCTTTCCACTGCAAAATAAAATATAAATGAGACATAGGCATTAGAAACCTACGTTTTAAAATTATAACAACCAAATAATAGCCCCTATCAGGGGCTTTCAAACTTCCTGCACTCAGGGAATACTTCCCATATTGGATTGGAATGTACATCTAGCTAATGGAATCCCTGTATATTGCAAAGGACTCTACAGCATGGCCTAGGGCATACTTAGTTTACAAGACTGTGAATAAAACTCCTTGGCACATGCTGTTATTCTCTACCAAAACCTAAAAATATGCACTGAAACATGTCCAACACCCCCCTAAAGTTTCACTGTCCAGTAAGAGAAAGACCAACAATTGTGGGACAGTTAGGGCTACCAAGTACTTACCGCAATTCGGCGGGGACACATGATCCCCGGCCGGAACATTCCTCCCTGTAATGCACCATGCCATCACCAGGAAGTGACGCTGGGCGACACTCTGACAATGGGGCTGAAAACTCAATGGTACCATCGATTTTCCAGCTCCATTGCCAGAGCATCGCCCGGCGTCCCTTCCTGGCGACGGCATGGTGTGGCACGTCTGTTTTCTGTGCAGGAATGGTCCTGGGAAGAAGTATGTGTCCCCCACCGAATCACGGTAAGTACTTGGTAAGCCTGGGGACAGTTGAGGTTAAAAACCCTCTTTTCTCAGAAACTGGGTAATACTGTCTCAGGATGCTGCAGATAGAGAACGCTGGCGTAAATAAAAATGTTCTTTGGCTATTCTTCCTTATGCAGAAAAGAGAACAAGGCTTCAACTCATAATTCTGGATAATAAAACAAAGTTGTGCTTACCTCTAAGTATTGTTCATTGAGTGGTTTTCTGTGTAGGCACATGCACAGGCTTGCAGCAGAAAAAAAAAATCCAGAGCTTTCTAGGAGCACCCCTCTTCCCCTTGGTGATGTTCTGCTGAAACCATGGCAAGGAGAAGGAGGCTGCTACTCCTTCAGTTCTCTCCATGCAACCACTGGAGACCCGAAGAAACTAAGATTCCAGAGAGTTCACAGAGGGGCAGGAGGGAGGGATGTGTGCCTCCACGGAAGACCATTTGATGAACAACAACTATAGGTAAGTGCACCCTGTTTTCATTGTTGTGGCTTCTGTACAGTTCCACACTGGGAGACTAGTAAGCTCACTTACTGAAGGAGGCAGGTGTGAAACTAGAGACCAAGGAGGACTATATTCTCAAAAGTTGCTTAGCATCCTATACTGACATTCATCCAAAGGTGCTTATAAATTCATTTATTTATTTATTTCTATTTCTAGCCCGCCTTGCCTGACAAGCAGGCTCAAGGCGGCGTACAATAATAATTTACAATAAAACAGATAAAATTCAACAATAAGATATAAAATGCAGATTAAATACAAGCGATATAGTGCAGATGGCAATCGTTGTAGGTGGCCCCGTATGACTATCCCAAAGAAAGTGCCAGTAATAGATGTTCAGTAGCTCATTCAGTTGGAGAAGACACTGATGCTGGGAAAGATTGAAGGTCAAAGAAGATTGGAATGGCAAAGGATGAGATGGTTAGACAGTGTCATAGATGCAATGAACATGAAATTGAGCAAACCTCAGAGGACGGCGGAAGACAAGAAGGCCTGGCGTGATCTGGTCCATGGGGTCGCAAAGAGTCAGACTCGACTGTGCGACTGAACAACAACAAAAGCTCGTTCAGTGGCAGCTCCTAATCGAAAGCTTAGTGGAAGAGTTTCGTTTTACAGGCCCTGCGGTACTGTAAGAGGTCCCGCAGGGCCCTGATGTCCTCCAGAAGCTCGTTCCACCAGTATGGAGCCGCCACTGAGAAGGCTCTAGATCTGGTAATAGCCAGTCTGGCCAGGGACAGTCAGGCGATGTTGAGTCCCCGACCTCAGTGCTCTCTGGGGAATGTGTGGGGAAAGGCAGTCCGTCAGTGTCCCGGTACCGGCCGGGATGTGCCTGGGGGCCTCCCGGCCCTGCCGGGAGAGAGATGCCACCACCCCGCAAGCAGCCCACCCATGCCTCCCCGGGAAGAGCGAGGGAGCAGTCTCGGGCCATGCCCGGAGGCCAGGCGTGCGCCATCGCAGCAGCTGCCACCCTCGACACTCCCAGGAAGCCGAGGGAAGGTGGGGCGGGGCCGGACACCTCGGCGTCTTTTCCTTTAGGCGGGGGCAGGGCCGGGCCGCTGGGGCCGCTGGGAGCACAGGGGGAAATAAAAGAAAGTGTGGAGCGATCCGATGAGGAGGCGCTGGGCTGGCTATGGCAGTGAGCTACGTGCGGCTTGTGAGAGAGAGAGCACGCAGCACGGGCAGACAGCCAGAGAATAGGCAGAACCCAGGCGGGCAAAGAAGGTGGTGCAACCTTCTGAGGAGTCCGCGTCTGAGGTGAACTCTGTCACTAAAGGACTTTTACCTTCCCGTCTCCTCATTAGCAACCCCAGCGACCCGGGGAGGGGTGGCCCCAACGCAGGTGGGGCGACAGAAAACATGGCTACTGGCGGTAGTCCCGGGCAGGAGCAGCAGAGGCGCCACAGTCAGGTAGGCATGGCCCTGGCCATATAGGGCTTTAAAGGTCAAAACCAGCACCTTGAAGCGAATCTGGTATGCTATTGGTAGCCAGTGCAGCTCCCTCAGCACAGGCCAGATGTGCTCTCGAATAGAGAGGCCCATCACCAGCCTGGCTGCTGCAATTTGCACCAGCTGCAGCTTCCGGATTTGGAACAAGGGCAGCCTCATGTAGAGAGCATTGCTGTAGTCCAATCTCGAGGTGACCATTGCATCACCGTTGCCAGGTCATTGCGTTTGAGGAAGGGAACCAACTGCCTAATCACCTGTAGATGGTAAAAGGCTGCCTTGGCAGTGGCTGCTACCTGGGCCTCCATTGTTAAGGTGGCATCCAGGAGCACTCCCAGACTCCTGACCCTCAACGCTGGCACCAATGGCACCCCATCGAAGGTCGGTAGTGGGATCCCTACCCCCGAGCCGCTCCAACTTAGGCACAAGAGGAGCAAGGAGCAAGGGCTGCTCTACAAATGTCCCAATCAAAATACCATGCAGGAATGTGTCAGGGAAAAAAAACAATGGCCCTGGAAGAGACAGTCAAGATAGGTAAAGGACACTGAACATTCATGTACCCAGGACAGAGTCTGATACTGTGTGCCAATCCACAAGGATGGCTTGTCTGAGATTGTATACAGGTCCTTCTTGGAGACTGCATGTCCAATACAAAGCAGTATTGGCTCCTTAGTAGACAGAGCAGCCAAGAAAACTCACATCTAATGTAAGAAAGTGCTCTGCTGTTAAAAGTCAGAAATAATATCATAAAGATAGTGTTGTAAGAGACAACCCTGGGCAGGGCACTGGACACCATAACACTGTGAATTTTCATGAATGGGGAGACATAGGTTAGAACCCACAATATGCCCATTCCATAGGTAGACGTGTGGCACACTAAAATCCCAGTTATGAAGGAAGCACCAGGGAAGTACAACAAGCAATAAGATAACAATGGGTTATACCCCTGTTTGGAATGATGCGGGAGAAGGCTTCAGCTTGGGCTGAAGGGGGAAAAAGTAGAAAAGAGATTGAGAAAGATGTTTTCAGAAATCTGTATTATTCATATTGGGAGGATAGACTTTTCTCCAATAAACATCCCTGGTAGAGATAGCACTCAAGTAAGCATCTGGTGTGCATGGTTGGATTTAATCAGGTCTCTCACATATGGGGATGGAACCATAACCCTGGCCATGCTATTCTATTGGCCCACACCTGTCTTTCAAAAGCCAATAAGAAACAGGAAAGTTCAGAATGTTTGAATCCTAACCAGCAGAAGCATGGTACAATTCCTGCTACAGCCTCAGTACTGACTTTTTCCCACTTAGAGGTACAAGATTTGGGAGTCAAGGAGTGGTAGTTGCCACCTGAAAAAATTGAGACTACTGATGCAGTGAGTTAAAAGAGCTGACCAAAATTACCAAAATCATCACCAGGATTTGCACCAGAATAATGAAAACACAACAAACTAATTTTGCACAACAAACTAATTTTGCAGCAGACCATGAGCAACTGGGAGACACACCCTCACAGCAAGGCCCCCAGACTATAGGAGAGGCATCAGAGATGGCACTAATTTACAGAGGCAAAAGGAGTGCCATGGGAAAAGAAGCAGAAAAATCAGGGCATCCCCTGAAGAGTGAAATTTATACCAAAAATCAAATTCTGTCATGCTGTCACATAAAGGTATGTAAAATGCAGGTGTGAAAGCCAAAAAAGGTCAACAATCTTAGTAAACTAAGGATCAACTAAATACTGAGAAAGGCTAAGGTAAAAACACTCTCAATTAAAAGAATAAAAAGGGGTTTCCTTCAAGAGGATCAACAACCAACCATCAACAGGCAAGGGAAAAGAAAACTTCCGATTTATGGCGGTGCGTTAGCAGACTCACCTCCCGGACCTCTCCGGGGGTGAAGCTGCGCTTCAGCCGAAGGAGGGGGTGCGCAGGCTCGTTTACCCCCCCAGGGACCCAGCGAAGGGACCCTGGCCATGGAACTTCCAAGAGGTTGCCTCTTTGATGGCGGAATGCCGGAGAATTGAGGCGCCTCTTCGTTCCGACGGTCCTCTGTGCTGTGAGACCGAATGGGCTTAGTGACGCTGACCGGGGCAAGCGCAGGAGATCGAGCGACATAAATGAAGTTGAAAGCGGGGTCGAATGACCAACTATGAACGTGAGTCAATGATTTAAAGCAATTTTAAAAGAAAAAGATAGCTCCCCACCCCAAAGAACAGGAAAAAGGCGAGCGGGGGAGGGACTCCTCCCACGTGCATGAACTTTTGAGCGAATGAAGGGGGGAGCGGAAGAAAACGCGAAGAAAACTGTTGAGAAGTACTCACCAAAGTGAATCTAAGCGGTCAAGCGCACATTCAGAGACTTTTAAAAAATTTGTGAAGGTAAACAATCGATAAAGATGGCGGGGAAGAAGGACAAAGAAAAACTTTTAAAAGCGAAACTA